GTCTTGACTCTGCTCTGACACAGCCTACTCCTCCTGTTTCCTCCTTCCCTGTACAATAAGGACCATCCTTATAGCAAAATCCTCAGTCAGCAAAGAGAATCTCAAACAGCCTCACACAGTTTCTCTGAATGCAGGAGCCTGGCCTTCCAGCTTTAGGAAGGCCATCAAGTTCTAGACTTAATACTAGGAGTCTGTCTGTCTAAAACTCAAATAATAAGAAATCTCAGTAAGCCTGAACATGATATCCTGGAGCATATATTGCTTTCTCTCAGATGCTGCTCAGCCCAGCAAAGATGAGGATTGGTACCTTAAATCCTGTTGACTTCTGAGCTGGCCCCTCAAGAAGGCCAAGAACCAGGGGTCTCCTGAAGAAAGTCATGTCATGAGCAGTTACTCACGCTGAGGTGCACTTGCATCTACCAAGCCCCAGATATAATGCCTTGTATATGTAAACTATAACTGAGATACAGCAAGCTACATATATTTAAAGTGTACAACTTGACAAGTTCTGACATATCTATGTTCCGTGAAACCATTACTACCATCCACCTAAATGGACAATCCATCCTCTCAAATGTTTTCTGGTTTTTTATTTTATCGTTTTTACATTTACTTACATGTGTATACATTGTTTAGGCCACTTCTCCCCACCCCAACTGCCCCCAAATGTTTTCTCTTTCCTTTGTAATTCCATCTGCCTCCTCTTCTCTGCCTTCCTACCCACCCCAGGAAGCCACTGTTTCTGTCACCACAGGGTAGTGTGTATTTTACTGAATTTTATATAAAATTCATATATATATGATACTCTTTTATATCTGATTTGTTCACTCAGCATACTGATTTCGAGCTTCATCCATGTTGCAAAATAGCTCAGTAGAATTCCCTTGTATGAATAGACATTATTTTTCTACTAATGTTTTATTGGATATTTGAGTCATTTCCTCATTTTGACTATTACAAATAAACTTGTGATGTCCTTTATGTACAAATTTGTATGGACATATGCTTTTGTTTCTCTTGGATGCATAGCTAGGAATGGGGTGGATGGTATATGTTTAACTTTTTAAGTAACTGTCAAGCTGTTCTCCAAAGTGGTTGTACTACTTTACTCCACCACCCCCACCTCAGCAGTGTAGGAGTTTCTATTCCTCCATACCTTTGTCAACACTTGGCATAGTCAACCTGTGTAATTTTGGACATTCTAATAAGTGTGCAGTGGTATCTCATCCAGTCTTAATTGGCATTGCCATGCATTTATTTTGTAAAGTGCCATCTGCTTTTTTTAAATTTTTTTTGTTTTCTTATTATTGACAAAATATGGCATTTGATCATGTAGCAGATTTTTCCAGTGTATGCATTCTGTGCTTGTCATCAGTAGAACTAGGTTTTTAATGTTTTAAGTACAGACAGGAGTACACAAGTATATGTATTTGTGCAATACATACCTACATAACCCCCCACCCCACACGCTAATCAGCACAGGAAAATGTTTTTCAATATCATGCTAGAGAATAAAATGTCCAAAAACCTCAAAACCATTATCAGCAGGGCACAGCAACTCTATATCTCACCAGAGAGATTTGTTTTTAACAAAGAAAAACCTAGAACCCAGTGTTGTGTCTGGGTGTGGCCTCATGGGAAATGTTACTGCAGCTGAGAGGACACTAGTGGACATAGCAAAGAAAGAATTCTCATGGCAACAAGTTGATGGCCAAAAGGTAGTAATAGGTAAGTTAAAAGGTAGTAAAAGGTAGTAATAGCCAAGTATGTCCATGACAGAGCAGACCACTTACGCGAATGGATTCAGAAATCAGGCAGACGGCCTTTGAATCTCCCACTACTGGCTTAGGGATCTTGGGCAAGTTGAAACTAAGTTGTTTTCTTAATTTGCAAAGTGGTGGTGAATCCTCCTCACATGATTTAATGTACAAATTAAATAATAAATTTGCAGCTGTGTGGAAAGATTCCTGGTATTCATAGTCAGCTATAACTAAGTTCTAGCCATTGTTATGAAAGGGAAGTTTAATGAGACAGTTAGGACTGTGAAGTAGGACCAACCAGACTTGATTAGAACAGCATCAAGTCTAGGTGTGTACAGTCTCCTTATTCAGCCTGATAGTCATTTCATTCTAGTAGAGATTAACAGAGTACCTGCTATGCACAAGCACTGAACTAAAGGTTAGGAAAGATTGAAAAGATTGTAAGGCAACCTAAAGAACACAACCTTAAAACAGGAAACACGGTCAGTGGTGTCTGTCAACCTGATTACATAACTATCTCTAAATGTCTGGTGCAAATAAATAGTAGAGAAATTAATTAAGGGGAAGTACAGAGAATGAAACAGGAGGTAAGGCATTAAGCTGGTGGTGCCTGAAGGAGAATTAAGAATGAGTGAGCAAGAGAGCCAGGGAGGCAGAGAAGGTTCTAGGCCACGAGCTCAGTGGGCGAGACAAGGCTCAGAAGCATGACTTTTCTCCTGCGGACCATCCGGGTCGGTATGGCTGGGGTAGAAAGTGAGCAAAGGAGAAATCCTTTTGTAAAGGAAAGTTAGAGTCAGGTTTCAAAGAGCTTCAAGTGCTAGATAATTGAATCAATGTCTAATGTGTAAATAGTTGAGGATCAAGTAATTTGTTGGTAGTTTTTAACTTTAATGTTGATTTTTAAATTACCCATCTATTAAAAAAGAAGCAGGGAACTAATATAGGCTCAACTGCACACTTATGAAATCAGAATCCCCTACAAGTCACATGGCATGGGTGGGCACTCAACAAGTTCTAGGTTCCATTCTTCTGACCTCTCTACCATAGAAGACACTCATGGTAATCTGGGCTCTTTGGCAGTGACTTTCAACTTTCAATCTACATCAGAATTGCCCGGGAATTCTTTCACTGAACATGTGCACATGTGACTTATAACTAACAGCAATACTATTTTCATTTTAGCGACAGAGAAACTGCCATAGTATGCATCTGGAATATTCTCCAAAGGCCCTCATGTGGCAAAGGCTTGGTCCCCAGTATGGCTCTATGGGGAGTGGGAACCTTTAAGAGAGGGGGTCTAATGAGAGGACTCCTAGCCATTGAGGACATGCCCTTGAAGATGTATTGGAACACTAGTCCCTTCATCCTTTCTTTCTCATGTCTCAGCCATGAGTTGAACAGCTCTGCTCAGCCACATGCTCCCTGCCACTATGTGCTACCTCACCTTAGGCCCAAAACTAAAGTGGCCAACCAGCCATGGGCCAAAAAAATTGTGAGCCAAATTAGACATTTTCTCTCTGGGAATTGATTGTCTTAGGCATTTGTTACAGCAACAGAAAGCTGACCAATATAGAATCTAATTCTTAAGAGATGTTGCAAATGCAGTAAGTCTCAGAATGGGGATTTGAATCCAGATCCCAGGCTCCAGAACCACTGCATTTCCCACCATATCACAAGACCTCCCACAAATATCTGTGTGCATTTTTCCCTTTTGAAACTTACCACAGCTCAAATTAAGTGTAGTGAAAATATAGATTCATAAAAGCTGTCTTCTTCCATCCTCCTTTCTCTCCTTCAGTGACATTTAAATTTTATCTTCCCTTTGTCCTGAAACTGGGCCAAAACTAATGAGGGTGATAATTTCACACAGTTTATTTTTAAACAACTTTTAACTTTTCAAGCTTCCTCATAACTTTCTCTTTCCCTCTACAACTTTTCCTAACACACCCTACGCAGTTTCAAAACACTTTAGTCAGAGCAGGACACAAAATAAAATTTGAAATATTAAACAACTACTTGTGTGGTTTTCTTTTTGCCCTAAGGATGAAGGGTGAGGGATGTCTACATCAGGCTTCACACAAAATCTGAAGGAAGTGATGGTGCTCTGTCCTCTTCCAACAAGCACTGAGAATTGTCTCCTCACTTGACTTTTGAAAGCCATTCTCTGTGATAGAACTTCAGCTACTATATGTGCATATGTGTCTCTGTGTCTACAAAAGAAACCTAGTATCTCTCCTTAAATCAGTACTGTATTCTCCACCAGGTATAAGATTCTCGCCTTACCTACTTCTTTCTGTTTTATCCCCCAAATAGCATTAGATTGCTCAGATTGGATATTTTTCTGACTTGTCAATCACATGATAAAAGAAAACATTTACATCCTTTATATATATTTTCTTAATGTCTCCACAGTTGATTTAAAACAATCTATTTTTCTCCTACTCTTAATTAGAATCTTGAGTAAAAGCTGACCACTCTTTCAAGTAGAATGGATACTTATTTTGTACACTCTTCATCCACATCCCTGAGGGTGATGTCTATCACACCAGGGCTCAGCCCCACATGGATTAGCATGTTACTATGTCTAATGGAGCCTGGGCTTGATATCTGAGGAAAAAAGGTTCAAAGATAGCATCTGTATCTATTCTTTAATAGATACAGGTGACAGGAGACACCTTCTTCCCACCAGGAAGGATCAATTGCCAGTGTTAAGCAGTCTTAATGATCCTTTGACTACTTGTCAGGCCACTGTGTACAAATGCACAATTGTGTGATGCAAGCCCCAGGGACAACAGTCACCTAGACTGCTGTGGAGTTGAACTGCACACATCTTGCTCAATTATGCATAAGAAACTTTATTTTCCTGAATACAAATAGTTTTCTGCAACCCAGAGCTGGTGGCTCACACCCGTACTATCTACTTCGGAGGATGAAATTGGGAGGATCACAGTTCAAGGCCAGCCCAGGTAAATAGCAAGATCCTATCTCAGCCAATAGCTGGGTGCAATAGCACATGCCTGTCATCCCAGAAACTTAAAACAAGAGGATCACCATTCAAGACAACCTGTGCAAAAAGCAAGATTCTGTCTCCAAAATAACCAGAGCAGAAAGGGCTGGAGGCATAGCTCAAGTTACCAGTAGAGCACCTGTCTAGCAAGTCCCCAGCCCTGAGTTCAAAACCCCAGTACTGCCATAAAAAATTTTTTTTCTTCATCCTTAATTGACCCTTTTGCTTCTCTGAACATTGTAATCAAGGTGGTTTATTTTAAAAAAACAGAAATATAGGCTACTCATAGATTTTCCTGTTCCTTAAGCCTTATCTGTTCTTTTGCATATTTTTAGTATTTCCTAGACTGACTTTATTTTGAGAGATCATAAGGTCATAGAAATTACTTGGAGATGAAAGGCAATCTTATTATACCCAGTAAATAAAAGTGAGTTGTAGAAAAGGGGTCAGTAGTGTGAAGCAAAATAGAGTCACCACACCAAAAAGACACTAATGTAAGTCATACTTATTTTAAGACATATGTTGACTCCATATTAATAAATATGTTAACACTGGATGTAGCAAAACTCTTGTGCATTTTCTATGAAGACAATGTGCTAATGGATCAGAGTAAAAGATAGTCCTTTACCTCCGACCACTGGTGAAACAATCTGAGAGTAGGAACAGCCTCATGAACAGTGCAGGGGGATAGAGGGAGGTCAAGAGAAGAGCTGACAAAATCAGGAAGAATTTCCTCTTTGCCTTTCCTTACTGGGGCCATAAAATCAAACATCTGGAGTGGGAAAATGCACCTTGCATGCAAAGCTGGTTCTACAGGTGCTGTCTTTCTCAAAGTTGGAAGAGAATCACTAGTTGGTGGTCAAGGTAAAAAAATTGCAAACATGTTTCCATTTCAAAGTAGGTCAGGTCACACTGGCTCATCACAGGGCCAGGAAGCCCTTAGAACCCAAGTCGGAGCTGCTGTTGCTTGAGCGTAAGTCCTGGACACAGCCCCGTAGGGAGAGCCTGAGCATTGAAGGTACTGTACAATGCTGGTGGCTTTCACCACAAGCTCCATGTAGAGCTGAGGCTTTTATTGATGATGGTGTATAAACCCATCACCACTCAGCCTGCCTTCTGTCCAGCCTTCCACTCTGCATCCCAGGAGACACACTAGCCAGGCAGCTGCCCAGGGTCCTCACTTATGCAGGGAACACACAGGACTTTTTTTGAACTCATAGATTTTTGGATCACCCTTCCTAATGATAGTAAATGGTAGAGAAATGTTCTAGAAAGGACCAAGGATCTATCCTAAGATCAGGCTCAAGTGGTAGTGGAATGCACCTGCTCTGGGCGACTTCCAGTTCTGGATATAACCCTCAGTGACTCTTGGCTTCCTTGGGTCTTTTTCTCAGAAGACATAGCTTCCCAGACTGTAAAAATTCAAAGAAGGGTTAACTCAAAAAGCCCCCCTGCTCTCAGGAGGTGTGGGCAGGTATGGAAGGAATAAGAGAGGTTCTCTCTTTCATCATGTAATCTCATGGCCAAGAGCAAGGGTAAGGGGGCTAAAGAGACACAAGGTTTTTGGCTGGTGTTCTCTGGACAGATTGGCAACAGTTTCAAAGGGAGAAACTGTCTCAGGTTTGGCGCAGCTAAGGCCAAGATTTAGCCAAGGAAGGACACCGTTACTGGGTATTAGAATGAATTGTAGGGCATTATTTTGCTGGGTTTTTTTTTTTTGTTTTGCTTTGTTTTGTTTTTGTTTCTTAAGCTGAAGAGGGTCTCAAAGATCTCCTAGTTCACCTCCTTCATTTTCCAGAAGAGGCCCTGAGGTCTGCAGAGGCTAAGTAACCTACCCAGGCCACACAGCTTGGGGACACAGAGAGGTATATAGAGGTACAGCAAGTGAGGTGGTGCAGATGAACATCGAGTGGCACACGGTTAGTTACATTCAGGAAAAGTCTTCCCACCCTTGGGCCCTTTTTGGTTGAACTGTCACAGAAGGGACAGGTCCTGGACTGAGCTTGTCCACCGGCTTCCCTCAGGAGGGAACGAGGACCTTCAGGGGTGTCTTCACTTCCCAGTCCGTGAGGCTGCCTGTATAGCTTTGATCCATTCAGTACGCTCCTTTGGGGTGGCTGCTTGCAAGAAATAATGAACTTCATCAGCTGTGATGATCTCAAACAGGTTATCTTCATCACTCTTCTTGCCTGGTGAAAAAGAAAATGAATAGCCATGCCCATGGGCATTAGAAAATGACCTAGCCTACCCTCCTTCTGCAAGTCATGAAATGCCTGGGTTTTGTTTGCTTGTGTGTTTGTATGTTTTTAGGTCTGAGGAAAATACGTTGTTTTTAAGCATAGTAATTGTACAATTATGTATATTCATTGCATAAGTGTATATGTGGCAGTCGTAGAGATGCATATGATATCACGGAATTGTTTTTAAGAAATAAAGTATTCAAGAAGAAACATTTATAAGAAAACTAAATGTCTCACTTTTGTGTTTAATAACTTCTGGGGAGTTGGGTTTTTGTTTGTTTGTTTGGTTGGTTGGTTTTGGTTTTTGAAACAAGATCTTACTATGTAGCCCAAGCTAACCTCGAACTCTCAATTCTTCTGTTTCTGTCTCCCAAGTTCTGGGATTTCAGGCATGCACCACCACACTTATTTTAAAAGTACCTTTCTTCAGCTCATAATATAAAAACTAAGGTTGACCCTAGTACATATATATGTGTATACACATGCATCCATATTTATATACATATACACATACACATAAACAATGAGAACTACCACCAATACTGTAAGTATAGTCTGAACTGGTGCTTGTCAAGAGCTAACCCCCTAAGCCCAAAACAACAAAACAAACCCAGGGTTTGGACAGTCAAAACCACATCTTGCAGTGACTCCCTGTGTCCTCTGTGCCTTAGAAGTCAATCTACAGTCACATGATTATTCCATGCATCAATCATACCTTATAACCTAGATGGGTCCACAGGTCATCTAGTGCAATCCCTCATTTTCAGAGAGGACCTAAGATCCAGTGTAGTGAGGTGGTTTACCTAGGTTCATGTAGCTGGGACCTTACCATATCTAAGAGCTCCCTCTGCTTAGCACACTGCCTGGCTGAACAATTACTCCTCTTTCTGTGGAGCATTTCCTCAACCGGATAAATAAAAGATCTCCTTGAAGGAATGTCATGGTGTCAGGAGCTACCAAACTCTCCATCTAAATCAATTCTGAAGTGATGGATTCTCTCAGCATGGCTCATAGAGTTACTCAAGGCATCTGAGAACAGCTCTTAGTGCCTCCAAGATTTTCAGACAGTAAAGTCGCACATGTTTATGCATGAATAAACACGTTGTTTGGTTGGTTGGTTGGTTGATGGTACCTCAAGATGCACAGGTGTGGGGAGGGAGTCTAAGTAGGCACACCTCTCTCCCACAAAAGTTCATTCTTACCATCTGTGCTGCTCTCCACAGATGTCACCACACAGCCTCTCAAATGAACTGCTCCCAGGGGCTCTTCCCCCTAGAGGAGAGAGAAATTATCTGTCATATTTATAAAGTACAACATATGAACGTATCTTACCCTGTAGGTAGGCACGTCCACGTCACAGACACTCTCTGGTACAGGTCAGGTTATCAAAATAAATAAGAGCAGAAGGATCTTAAAGGAATTCCCTTCAAGATCCTCCACTTTCCACTTCAATGGACTAGGAGGCTGTGTGAGAAGGTGCAAACCAATCTGGACTTCAAATCTGGAGGAAAGTAACAGGAGAGGCTGACATAGTAGTATGATACAGTTTTAGAGGAGCAAAACAAAGAGCCTTGTGCTATAAGCAGAGGCCAAGGACCTACCAGGGCTGTCTTTATGCTTCACAGTTGGCTCCTTCTACTACGGAAAACCCTCTCTTCAACAATCAACAGCCCAAATCACTGGCCAAGTTGGCCTGTAAGAGGAATTATCACTTTTTTTCTTGCTAACTCATGAGTTGGACTCATTGAGTTCCCCTGAAAAGATCAGATTAGGGCAAACAAAAAAGTATATTGAGTTACCAAATACATTATCATATAGTGATGTTTTCTTCCATCCCTGAGCTTATACTGGTCTAAAAGACCCAAGAACTCAGATCTTTGCATTGAGAGATGGTAGGAAAAGGAGAAGAAGGATGGGTGGAAAATAAGTGGGAAGGTGAAGGAAACACTACAACAGAGCAAAGGGGAATAGGGACCCCAGGTCATAAATACATGGAGGCTTCTATTTGAATGGATTTATCGGCCGCAGAATCTCACCCCAGCAGGATCATAGTAGTGCAGGTAGGCAGGGTCTTCTCTCAGAATGAACTTTCTCACCTTCCAGTTTTTCCTCCTATGACCCTGTATCCAGTAATAACACAAGAAAGGAAAGGTAAGTTCCTAGCATTATTCTGTACACACAATGCCTAGATAATAAAGTCCTTGCTGACTTGAAAAAAAGGAAGCAAAGACGAAAAACTAACTCAGGAGAACCAGGCCTCAGCCCAAATCTTTGTCAGGGAGATAGCCTTAAGATCAATCTATAAACTTAATGGATGATTTAAATTATTTCTAAATTTGCCTTACGGGTTTGATGTGATGTAAGACAGTGCTATGTGCTATGTTAGGCAGTGCAAGACATAGAAAGTTGCTTAAGATGTGGTCCTTTTCTTCAAGAAGCAAAGCCCAAATCAAATAATTGGTGTAGGTAATGAGTTTCAAAGGAATTCAGTGAGCTCTATAGAATTGTGGACTTTGTCAAACAATACCACGTAAAGACCTACACTTATCTGCATGGGACACACAGTCAGGAAAGGCCTGGGTGGAAAGACTAAGGACAACACAGAGGTGGAAATACATGAGACACAAGCATACTGGTGAGTAAGACCAGGGTGGCTAGAATTTAGGGCACAAGAGGAGAAACAGAGACCAGGCTGGAAAAGCAGATGGGACTTAGTGAAAACAAAAGGTAGGGGGTGTTGATGGATGGCTTCTCAGGAAAAAGTGAGATTACAATTGCGTTCTAGAAAATTTAATTTGGTGACAAGCTGTAGAATGTTTCATCTGGCTAGATTAAAAAGGAAAGCCAGGAGGACAATACGTAAAGAAGAAGTCATTAGGGAATGATTGCAATAATCAGGCATGAATTTTTTAGGCACTCACTGACTTCAGGTAACAGCAGTAGAAATGGAAACGAATTTGGCTGTAATAGACATGAAAATAGAAGAATAGGGCTTGGCCTTTCTCCATAGAATTAAGCATTGTATGGTGTAGTCTGTGAGTTTTAAGGGCTTAAATTTGTTCCCCAGGGTCCAGAACAGTGCCTAGCACACAAAAGCTGTTCTGTAATTGCCATTAATTATCCAGTTATTTCAATTAGCTTATAGCAGGTTTTATTTTATTTTGCTATTTTTTTCTTTTGTTTTGGCTTGGTTTGGTTTAGTTTTGGTTTTTGAGATGAGGTATCACTAGAGAGTCCAGGCTGGCCTGGAACTCACAATTCTCCTGCATCTGCCTCCTGAGTACTGGGATTATAGGTATGAGACACTATGCTCTGCCATATTAGCTTATAGCAGGTTTTAAAGTGTCGTGGTACGCTAAGATTCCACCTCACCCCTGTTAGAATAGCCATCATCAGCAACACCACCAACAACAGGTGTTGGCGAGGATGCGGGGGAAAAAGGAACCCTCTTACACTGTTGGTGGGAATGTAGACTAGTACAACCACTCTGGAAAAAAATTTGGAGGCTACTTAAAAAGCTGGACATCGATCTACCATTTGATCCAGCAATACCACTCTTGGGGATATACCCAAAAGACTGTTACTCCAGAGGCACCTGCACATCCATGTTTATTGCGGCACTATTCACAATAGCCAAGTTATGGAAACAGCCAAGATGCCCCACCACTGACGAATGGATTAAGAAAATGTGGTATCTATATGCAAATGGAATTTTATGCAGCCATGAAGAAGAACAAAATGTTATCATTCGCTGGTAAATGGATGGAATTGGAGAACATCATTCTGAGTGAGGTTAGCCTGGCTCAAAAGACCAAAAATCGTATGTTCTCCCTCATATGTGGACATTAGATCAAGGGCAAACACAACAAGGGGATTGGACTTTGAGCACATGATAAAAGCGAGAGCACACAAGGGAGGGGTGAGGATAGGTAAGACACCTAAAAAATTAGCTAGCATTTGTTGCCCTTAACGCAGAGAAACTAAAGCAGATACCTTAAAGCAACTGAGGCCAATAGGAAAAGGGGAACAGGTACTAGAGAAAAGGTTAGATCAAAAAGAATTAACCTAGAAGGTAACACACACGCACAGGAAATCAATGTGAGTCAATGCCCTGTATAGCTATCCTTATCTCAACCAGCAAAAACCCTTGTTCCTTCCTATTATTGCTTATACTCTCTCTACAACAAAATTAGAAATAAGGGCAAAATAGTTTCTGCTGGGTATTGAGGGTGGGGAGAGGGAGGGGGCGGAGTGAGTGGTAAGGGAGGGGGTGGGGGCAGGGGGGAGAAATGACCCAAGCCTTGTATGCACATATGAATAAAAAAAGAAAAATGAAAAAAAATAAAAAATAAAAAAAATAAAGTGTCGTGGTAAACCTGAGTCTATGATTTCCTACAGAAGAGTCAAATGGTTAAAATAACTTCAGGAGCCAAAAAAAAAAAAAAAAGTACTAGTTTAGAAGACATATAGCTTCTACCTTGCCAACACAAAAATATTTGTAACTCCCAAAGCATTACATACTAAGAAGCATACAGATGAATTTTTGACATTTTTCATTGTGTGGTTTTAGCAAACAGGGTCATAAATCCAGGTCAGAGGAATTTAAAGGGAGCTTGCAAGAATGGGCCTAAGTTTTTTGGCTCAGCATTTGGTCCAAAAACTGCAATTCTAAAGAACCTTTTAGTAGCCTGAAGATGGAGCCAGGAACCCTATAGAGTCACATGAGAGGGCAGAAAATATTTCTATCTTCTAAAGCATGTACAAAATGGTGTTTGCAATGCCAAGAAAATTCTATTCTTTGTCCTAATATTGCCCATGAGATAACAACACTGAGGTGGTCACCCCATACCATTTCCTCTTTGTCTGTAGACATGAATGTCATGCTCTGTTGGGCAATTTCTGACTGACCACCAAGTTATCATGAGTTGATGGAAGAGGAAATTTACAGGAAAGATATGAAATCAGCTAGCCCTGGCCAGCTGCCATATTCTCTTGAAGCCCTCACTGACACTGCAATGTGGTGTATCGAACAGTCTGATGTAAGTAGGTGTCTGGTCATCTTTTATTTAGCGAGTTATTCCTGAGGGATCTCAAAGAACGTGTGCATGCTCAGGGTTTCCAAGAATTGTTGCCAAATTGTCAAAGTCATCTACTTAGATTTAATTCCATTCACTTCACAAGTGTTTAATGCCTATCATAGACCAAGGAGGGTGCTGCAGTCTGCAACAGAAACAAGAAAATCCTGTGTAATACACCATCCTTCCCCTCAAAGACTCTACAGATGGTTGACAGTTAAATAACTATTATATTTTATTATGACAGAAGAAATTACATAAAAAGGATTCTATTCAATGTAATCTAAGACCACTCATCCTCAACTTGCTCCATTTACCAAATAGGACTATTTCCTCTGAGATGAAAGTGAGACTGGGGGAGGGAGAAACAGTCCTCCAGTTGGACACAGCTACTTCCCACCTGTGAAGTGTGGGACACAGGTATCATTTTTCATGATAAACTGTCTCTGCAGGTTAACTCTGCCTAATCCCAGCAGTAGATATAAGGGCAGTTTACTTCTGGGGGAACTTAAAGGATTTTTTTTTAAATTTCCTCATGTGATTCTGATAAGAACCAGGGTTACTAACCACTGAGCTAAGAGATTACAAACATTAAAGGGAAAGGCAAATTCAAATAACAGGTTTCTCCTTTTACCCCATGCCATCCTCACCACAAAGACTAAGAATGAGGAGAAGAAGAAAGAATGTTAGAAAAGGACCAAATCCCTGAAAACACACAGATCCTGTCTTCTTTATGTAAAAGGGAAGTTTGTGAAGCTATTTAAATAATTGTATTTTGAGAATAGAATAAATTAGAGTTTAAAGGCTAGTTCAGTGGTTTTCAGCCTTGGTTGCACATCAGAATCTCTTGGGAGCTGCAAAAATCTAGACACTCTGATTTAATTTGCCTAGAAGGCAAGTTTAAGAACTCTCAGGGGATGCAAATGTGCACCAGCTGGGTTAGCTAAGGTAAATTATGTCTACTGAAGCCCAGGTAAAGGAAAGCAAAGGGAAACACCTAAATCAGTGTACTTCTAGTCCCTGTTATTTTCAACATGCATTCAACATGCCAAATTTTGCCCATCCAAGGTCTCCTACTGGGGTCTTTGCCCAAACATGGCTCCAGTCCAGCCCAGATATTATTGTCCCTTTATCAACCTTCATGCTCAGTTTTCCGAAAGCTCCTCTCAAGATTAGAGCTTGGGGCTGGAGGTGTAGCTCTGGGGTAGAAAACTTGCCTAGCACACAGGAGGCCCTGGGTTTGATCCCCAGTACCACAAAAAATAAAAAGATTAGAAGTTGCTCAATCAACTAATTCAAGAAATAGCTGGTAGCAATACAGAATTAGAAGGAATCAATAAAATGAGGAAATAATGCCTTGTCTCAACAACCACCTTCCAGCACCTGAAATCAAGAACCAGGAACACAGACATGTTTGGCAGAAGCAAGGAGGAAGCCAGGGCCAGTGGTGGGCAAACTCTGCCAGAGTCTCCCCTAGGTCAGGCTGGCCCTGCCCCTGTGCATTTCCTTTAATCTAATCAGCTGGTTACCCTGTCATAAAAAGACACTAGAGTTCTTTCTAAATCTTTGCTTCATATTCCTTAGAACCCTGGTTTCTTAAAACTCTATGTGAAGGTGTCTTCCATACAAATGTCCTACTTCCCCCAGTGCAACTCAAAATCCATATCATTACCTAATCTCAGTAAGCTTAAAGTATCTCTCTTAAAGTATAAATATATACTTTGGTTCTTCTCTCCTTGCTCATCCCACAGAAACCTAAGATGAAAAGTAATGACCCTAATAAAATGTCAACTCTCAGTCCCTTGGAGTCTATAGAGAATGGACAGAATCATCTTAACAACAGCCAGGTTCTCTCCATTATACCCTGAGCAGTGCTTTTAAGGGAGCTCATAGCACAGTCAGAAATAAGACCTTGGTCCTCTGAAGTAGTCCTGGCTTCTGTGACATGCTGTGTTAGTATCAACTTATTTCACCCTGAATATTCCCATTATCTTCCTGATGCTTCTCTTTCCAGTAAATGTTGGCCTTGGCTTCCCTGCTTGTCTCCAGATCTTGTAATCTCTCACTTCTTGTTCACATGCCCTGGCACCTGGAACTCAATAGAGCTCTTCAGCTCACCCCAGCCTTGTTTCCCAGGATGGTGGCCTACACCTGTGAACACCTGGAAACTGTGCATAACTTTCCCCCAGGGCTGTGATGTCCTCAGACTGGGTTTGACCTTTGCCCAGTGTTTCTAAGGAGTTAGCCTCAGGCCTACCACCAGGCCTTACCCACAGTCTGAAATGGTCTCCTTGCTCTCAAAGGTATATGATGTTTACTGCTGGGCATGACCTGGTCCCATTTCCTGGTTACTCTGAAGGGAGGAGGGGATCAAAATGGAAGTACTTTACCATGAAACAGCTTTTTTTTGATGGCACCTCTTAGCCAATTTATTTCCTCCAGCCAATGAAAAGGCAGTATTTTCTTAAAACATCCATTTTTCCCCTGTGATATTGATAAAAGCAGCCTTTCTCTATTTCTAGGAGCATCTTCAGTCCTGCATGCCTCATTCCTCCTAACCTGATGCTACCTTGATCATCTGCTTCGCTCTTTGTCTACCTTTCACTCTGTGGGATTCATTTCTGGTTGACTATTGGCCAAATAAACTCAATGCTATTTGGTACATTGTGGGGGAAAGGCCCTGGTATGGGGGAAAGACTAAAAGGAAATGGTGGTGACCACTTCACTCACCTGCTTCAGTAGACATCCCTGCTTGATAATGATCCCTCTGAATTCTTCCTTCAGAATCACGTCATCATCGCTGGAATTCTCTTCACAGAAGAACCCACTGTCTGGCTATTGGGAAACCAAACAGCAAGTTGACTTTAACACTCTGGGCATATTGCCACAAGTACCATGCCCACCTCCCCTGTAGCCACTAAGGCAGGCTCCTCCTTTCCCTTCCAGTTACAGTGCATATCCCAATCGGAACCTTAAAGATTGACACTTGGTTAGGTAGCTTTGCCTCCTCTGTTTTCTTGATTCTAGATGCTGTTCCTTTCTGTGTCCACTCAAGTGTGACCTTGGCAATGTCCTTTCATTTTCTAGGTTTTCCAGACTATGTTCTAAGTCTAGCTCAATCTTCCTCACTGTGCACATTCCTGCCTTCAAAGCCTTCCTTCTCTTGGGACCTCATGACCACATCCTTGAAATCAGGTGACTAATGTATAAGGCACTATGCAACACTATTTCCATCATGGCCTTTGTCACTCAGGCCCTTCTCCTACTTGAAGAAGACCAAGACCTAGAGCATGCGTCCAGCCTCAGCCCCTAAGGTCAGGAGGGAATTGTGGTTTGCTCAGCTATAAGCAAGTGATGAATCGTATAGAGGACAAAGAGTCACTGTGATGAGTATTTTTATAACTCTGCATTTAAATGGTAGAAATAGCCAGATCAAAGGTCTGAAAAAAAAAAGTACCAAGAGTGGAAGTTCCCCCAAAGTGAAATGAAACTCCGTTCAGATGTTCACTTCATTTTTGTAAGAATGATTTTCTTAAGAAGCTTCCTAACTTGTGTAATCTGACTCGAAATAGAAACAAAACTGCCAAAATTCCCCTAGAAATCCACAGGTGCTGGAATTATCAGGTGGCCCAAGATTAAGCCCACATCACGTAATACCAGTTTCCCAATCTGTGGTAAGTGTACTGTGGAAGATAGGAAGTGACCTGCATAAACACAGTCACACATTTCAATTATGTTTGAGAAACACAACCAGCTCATCACATCTGTGATTTTATGGATGGCCCTCCAGAAAGGACACGCCACAGGGGCCAGAATTTTTGCCCTTTTCTTGATGTGGTTTTTCCAGTGCTCTCTCTCCTTTGTCTAGGGTAATGTTCTCCATGTACTAGAGCCTAATACATTTTTGTACACAAATTATTACTTATTTACTAAAGATAGTAAAGTTTAAAAAGAAAATTATTCAAATAAATAATCATTTCCTTTAAACTGACTCACTTGATCAAGGCGGCCTATGGAGTAAACAGCGGTCAAATCTGGGAAGTACTGGTGTTGCAGCAGCACCAAGAGCATCAGGCTTCATGACTCAGAGACTTAGAGTATCTACTTTTTCTCCCCAGCTGGCCTCCCCTCCCCTCAGAGCCCATATAACAGTTCTCTATAGGGTTGGGCACTGTGTTTTGCATATTTAGCTGTGAACTAAAATCAACCTAGAATCTGCCCTGCGCAGACGGGTAGCTTTTCTCACTTACGAAGTAGTAGAAGGCATCGGGGTTGTCCAGGAAAGGGTTTTCAGCAATTCCATCTGCTGCATTCTTGGACAGATCCCCAGCAGGCTGCAGGTATCCTTCATTGAGCAAGGATGAGGCAATCATGAGGCCTTCCTGACGATTTCGAACCGACTTGTTGGATACCAGCCAGTCAATGACGCAGCTACCTGGATGGGACCATCAGAGGGAAGATTAACTCTCTTTCCCAAGGAATGAGTCACTAACCATCACCCTGCACTGGCTCCAGAGCACCCTAGTGTCCAACATGTCTCATCTTCTCCCTTATTCCAAGAGAGAAAACAAAAATTAAAGGGCTAGACACTTGGAAACAAGAGGAAATCATGCGAAAGGCTTTTTAAAACATCTACATGCTAATTAAGAAGCAATGCAGGCATCCATCAAATCATTTTTATTATTCCGCACATTTTCTCCCTCAAGGAACATTTAATTATTTTTATTTATCTTTGGTGTCAATAGGGTTTGAACTCAGGGCTTGGCACTTGCTAGGCAGGTGCTCTATCACTTGAGCCATGACCCTGGCCCTTTTTGCTGTAGTTATTTTAAGAAATGCTACTCTAATACCTTGGGACTCGGGAACACATGTCACAGGAAATAAGTCTGGGCCTAATCCTGTACCAAGATCTACATTAGAACCCCTTCCTGCTCCCTTTGCTAGGGGCTCTGTTGCAGCAAACTCAGTCCTATAGAGTTAAGACCCGGCCTTTCTTGTGTCATTTTCCCTTGAACTAATTCCAAACCTCAGCCCCGGCTTGTCTGATGCTAATGGACTGCTGCTTTAACTCTTTGAGGCCCCTTCCTATGGGATATTTCTCCTTACTGCAGATCACACCCTTTTCCTCTTGGCTTTCCTGACACTGGCCTGGACCATTTTCATGGATTAGCTATTGACCTGCTGTCCTGTAGAATTCTACTTCTGTTGTATCTTCTCAGAGTTTCTTCCTTTGACATCTCTTGTCACCATAAGTGAACCATAAGTTAAGCCACACCTGGTGGCTGACAAACCTAGTCCCAAACTCTACATTCCATTTTGCCCTCCATAACGAACCATCAGCCCTATCAGGCTGGTTAATCTATTTTCCTAGATGCATATTCTGCACCTCTCAGCCTATAACTTTGTCCTCACCATCATCTGCCTATCCTCCTCATCAGAAATCCTCCCCACAAATTCTACCCCTACTTCAGGGTCAAATTGAGGTATCACTTCTTACTCACCCCAACAACTCTCCGAGCTCTTTCTTATCTCTGAACTCATTGAACTGTTATGTGACCTCTTTAGTCATAATAACCACTTGAGAGCTTGCCCCACAAAGCACTTAGTGTGTTCCAAGCACTGTCCCATCATAAACAACAAGCCTATAGAGTAGGAACACTGTGATTATCCCCATTTTTTGGACAGAAAAAGTGAATCCCCAAGAGACTATGTTACTGTCCCAAAGTTTTAAGGCTAGTAAGTTGCAGAGCCAGGATTTGAAACAAGGCAGTCTGACTCCAATGAAGATGCTTTGATCACTACACCACACTACCTAAACTGGTAACCCCTAATGCTTTACCCTGTGCAGTGTCTGACATCCTAATATTTTCACTTAAATCTTATAGTATATGTCTTGATCACTATCATGGAAAGTGTTGCATCTTATTCAATTCTGTCTATTTCTAACAATTGCTCAACATAATGACGCTTATCGGGGGGATGTTTTGTTGATATAACAGGAGCTTTTTAAATGCTATCTGGAGCAAAAAAAAAAAGTGTTTTTCTACCTTCTTTCTATTTCCACAATGGTGAAACTCAATTCTCATGTTCACCCGTCTGCATTCAGTGATCCAACCACCTGTCATCTCCACTCCCCACCTCACCCCACACACATGGCTGAAGAGACAGTCATAATCCCTCCCCAGTTGCCCCTTTCAGAAGTACAAGTCCTTTTACCTGTGAAGCAGTGATTAAAAATCTTCTTGTCCTTCTCCAGATTGAGTTCTTTTACTCCTTTTTCAGTATCTTTCATGGACATATACAAGGCACTGAACAGAGATAAAAACAGGCAGGTGAGTAAGAAGCATTTCAGAATGATGAGGTCTCTCTGGGAGCTGCCACCTTGAACACCAGCTCCCTCCCAGCCCACCTCTTGGGTTTAATCTCTCTACCAGACCATAATTAGTTAAAGGATAGCATTCCTACTGGCATAATTCTGTGGTCTGCTGAGCATTCAGTCAGCAAAGTGCACTTGGAAGGCATTTAATGTCTCCTAAATTCATTCCGCCCTTTGATTTAACTTCTGGTTCCTGCAATGAAGAGTTTCTCCAGGCACGTTCTAGATCTTTAAAGTGCCTGCTATAGTTTGGATCTGAAATGTCCTCCAAAGGCCTGTGTGGTAAGGGTTTAGTTCCTAGCATGGCACTAAGGGGAGATGCTGGAAACTTTAAGAGGTGGGGCCTATAGGAGGTCTTCAGATCATTGAGGTAGACCCTTGAAGACTGTGGAACTCTGGACTTTTTCTTTCTTTAGCTTCCCAATCATGAGGTGAACAGTTTTGCAATGCCACACACTCTTCCTAGGATGTGCTTCCCCAATACCACCACTAGAAACCCAAAAGCAATGGGTCCAACTGACCATGGACTGAAACCTCTGAAACTGTGAGCCAAAGTAAATCTTTCCTCTTTATAAGTTAACTATCCTAGGTATTTGTTACAGTACTGGAAAGCTGACTAACATAGTCCTTCAATTCTTTAAAAGTCTTCAAGAGACCAAATATTGCAGACATGTGCCTCCAAGAAAGTAAATGTTTCCTCTTAGCTTATCTTCTAACTAAAAATGATGAATAAGGCAAAATCATGAGAAGTTCTTATTGTTATCCTTGGAAAAATAAACCAAAGCCAGCCTTATTAGAGAAATTCCAAGCCACAAAACAGAAGGCCACTTTCATATATCCTGTGGTTCCATAATGTTTGAGCATCATTTCCACTTAGGTGTGACAGCCCTGGCTAGGAATTAGGTCATTTGATGACCCTATTCAACAGCTGCAGCTAGACCAGGTATCTCTTCCTGGGTCTTTTCCAATAAGCATCTGTAGTAAGGAAAGCTGCAGAGTCTCACTAAGCTCGGTGGAAGAACTTTACTCCTGTGACAGGCCAAACGCTCTGACAGTCAGGTAAGAGGTGTGTCTCTAGTCCTCTCTCATGGACTCTTTCCTACCCCACCCATGTAAACAGAATTCTTGTGGACATTTTAAGCATGGCATTCTTCCCACAGGGGCTCCTGTTTCAGGGTATGGTCAATCTGAAAGCAAAACTACCAAGAAGAAAGAGACTCCTGGACAGAGCACATCCATTACCAGAAAAGACATGAAGTGTGCAGAAAGAAATCCCATTCCCAACCCCTGTCAGGAGTTAGATTTACCTGGTGGCCTCTGATAACCTTTAGGCTACAACAGTTACCTGCAATGTCAAGCTAGGCAACATCAGAGGCCATTAATCAGTCAGGGCACAAATGACTTCTATCCAGAATTGGTATACACCCCTGCTGACCCTTCCTGACTATGTGAGGGAATGCATGAATTTGAACTTGAAATCTTGTCTGCTAGGATACATAGCCCCTGCCCTTTCCATGCTACCTAGGGATCCTGATGCTTGCTTTCAGGACTAACTTCTTATGGCTACTTCATAAATTAAATGAAATCTCTCTCTCTCTCTCTCTCTCTCTCTCTCTCTCTCTCTCTCTCTCTCTCTCTTTCATATGAGAGAATTAATACCCCAGTGGCCTCTCTAATTAGCTCATAGGCCTTGGAAAGAATATGATCAATCCTTCCAGCCCTTCAAACATCTTAGTCCCCTGAGTGCCAATGTCAGCATGGCACAGACAAGCATTGGAGCAAGATCTGTCAGAAGAAAGTGGTGGGGGGGAGTAGAGAAAAGAAAACACAGAAACTCACCCTAGGTCAATGGTTTCTGGCAGGCGAATGGACCTCCTCGTGGATTTTCTTGCAAACTTCTGGCCTCCCTCAATGCATTTAATGGCTTTCTTGATGTCCCGAACCCAAGCATCTCTCTCCTCCAGGAAGGCTGCCTGGAAGAAGTGGTCCTGCTGTTTGGTTGTAGTGATCTTAAACACAAACTGAAAATAGAAACACATCCTATTAGAAATGATCCTTTGCAAGGGCTGAGGCTCCTCATGAAGCAGAGCAATTGGCCTAAACCTGTTCTGGTGAAGAGACACCCAAATGCCAGGGTGACATGTGGGTGGTGATGAGAAGGACTGACGGGGAGTTGCAGGCATGGACTAAAAAGTCAGCCAGTGACACAAAGTGTATTGTGACTCATATTGTTGACTCACCATCCTTTTGCCAAAGTAAAGACAAGGGCTAGTCAAAGTGCTTCCTTTCAGGGGGATCATTCCTTTGGGGCCATTGTCACTTTTCTTCTTATAGAATTCAATTCCATCTTCTAGCAGTACTACCCACATGGGTTTCCAGGTGTTAAATACACTCCCCTGTAATGACAAGAAAAAGCTGATATAGGCAGGGCTCTTTGTAACCTGTATTTTCTGCCTAACAGAACAGATTCTGTATTTTCTTAAAGTTGACTTTAAAAATGTTTTGTGACATCATCTGTAAGTCCAGCATAAATCCTCTCAAATCAATGACTTCTTGGGGAGCCATTACCCTCTCCTGATTGACCTCTCTGCATCCTTCAAACCTCAGCTTAGCCCCCTTGTTGGTGAAAGCTTCCCAAACTGCACCAATCTACACTGATCTCAGCTACTCTTCCCATTTTCCTCACATTCTAGAACATTGTGATATGTTGCCTTAAAGAGCCATTTAATTGTCTTCAGTGTGGTTATCTTTTATTCTTCATGGCATTGGCATTATTAGATCTTTTCATTTGCTCATGGTACTGAGCACACAGTGCATGTTCACTAACATAATGCAAAAAAAAAAAATCTATTTCCCAAGTTGCCAAATGTGAGCGCCTATCACACATGAGAAGAGTGTTCAGTACTGCTTGTGGTCTACTTTGTCCCCACCCAGATCTTTTCTTGCTATAATTTCCCCTGCACCTCCTTTTTAATGCATGGTTCACACCACCAACAACCACATTCTCACCCCACTGCTATGTGTAAGAAATACCGGCAGTCTTTCTTCTGCAAATAGCTCTTAAGCATGATCTATATAGGTCTTCATATAATTTTAAATTTTTAACTGCATAGTTTGAGGACAGGAAAAATAGAAAAATGACAATTATCAGACTTTTATTTTTATTTTAGGAAACTTCAATTCATGAACATATTTGTAATAATTGAAGAGTCTAATGTTCTAAAGTCAAAAGGCAAGAAGCTGTTCTCCTAGTATTTTGCAAAATGTGCTCTACAGACCTCCTGAGCTGACTCATTGAAGATGGCTGTCAGTAAAATTTGGTCCCACCCCAAATCTGCCTTCACTTGTAAGTCCCAGTCATGTAGTGAGACTGCTCAATCTCCCACTACCAAGTTCAAGCTCAACTGCTTGCCTGGTGATCAAACTTGGGCCAGCTATGTGCCTGCTCTCAGTTTTAGTTCCCAACAGTCATGTAGGAATAAGAGTATCACCTCAGAGTTTCCTGGCACGTATTCATGGGAATAATGTGGACAGGATGCCTTAAGTTTAAATGTGGTAAATCAGCAGGAGGTTGAGTTATTAAGTGTCATGAGAGATGGCCACAATGAATGTCTCCAGTGCTCTCAGTTTCCACTACAATAACCAGCTGCTGTTCTATCCTCTTTCACATTCAGGGAAAATGGGCGGGTGTCACTCATTGTCATCACACTAATGAGGAAAATACTCAAGAGTATTTAACCAGTAATGAACGGGAAAGCTAAGGCTTTGCACAAATGTGTTTCTAAGTAAACAAACCACCTTGCTCTGCTTTCTTTGTGGTGGAATGAAGTTTGGGGGTGATGAGAGAGCTGGCCTGCCCCTGGGCTTGCATGCTTCCTCCATCGTTGTATGGCATGGGTGGACTTAGGATGCCCAAAAGTACAGGATGACTTGGAGTCAAACCTTTTTTTTTTTCTTTTTAAGCAGTACTGGGGTTTGAACTTAGGGTCTTTTGCTTGCTAAGCAGGCACTCTACCATTTAAGCCATGCCCCTAACCCTGTCAGCTTCTTAGGTTGTATTTCAGATAAAGCCTCATGATGAGCACTTATTAATTGTACATGTCGTTGGGGAAAATGTATAATTTCTGAGCCACTGATTTTTTCCTCTTTTTTTTTTTTGCAGTGCTGGAAATCGAACCCAGGGCCTTGTGCATGCTAGACAAGAGCTCTACCATTGAACTACCAGATCTTAACCAGAGTTTTCATTTTTTTACGAGAGAGATAATAATTCTATTTTATAGTATGTTAGCAAATATTAATTAAGTTTATATAATGGATAAAATATGTATATGTGTATAATGTATAAGTATTTATACAATATATGCATGCATTATACACGTGTATATTCTGCATATATATGCATATGTAGAGAGAGAATTTTCACATATCTTATAGGTAAATTGTACAAATTGCCATCAAAGTATATGTGCCAGGAGGGCAGAAACCTTCTTTAAGATGATGTTTCCTGGGACTACAATAAATAGTTTGTGAGTTATAATTTAAAATCACAATGTGTGATAATGAATTGATAAGACTGAATTAAGATGATATAAAGAGGTTGGACATAGTGACTCATGTCTGTAATCCCAGCTACTCAGGAGGCAGAGGAAGAGTCTCAAGTTCAATGCCAGTCTGGGCAAGAAGTTTGCAAGACTTCATCTCAACCAGTAAAAGTTGGATGTGGTGGTACATGCTAGCTATGTGGGAAGCATAAAGGTGGATGGCATAAACCCAAGACCTTACTTGAAAGATTACTAAAGCAGAAAGGACTGGGGGCATTGCTCAAGTGACAGAGCTTCTACCTAGCAAACACAAGACCCTGAGTTCAAACTCTAGTGCCGAGAAAGAGAGAGAGAGAGAGAGAAACACATGAAGAAATGATTGGTGTAAGATTAGAAACAGTAACGTGTAACAGTGTTTTCTGAAATCCTTCTACAGACACATACAGGATATGTAGCACAGCTTCAGCCGGTGTGGGTGGAGGTGACCCACCTTACTATGACCAGGCTGCTGAGGAAAGCAACATTCATGGAACAATAGGACAGTCATTTTGCTGGAGATTTGTTTTTAATTAAGGTATAATGTACATATATCTCTAGTCATTCCCTGAGCCCCTCATGGACTACTACCAAAGGAATACAGTACGGACCTCTACTGTCCTTCTTGTGTACTCCAGGTTGACTTTCTCTGGTTTATTTCTGCTCCAAGCTTGCCCATGATATTCAATTCAACTAGGGATGGCAAATAGATTCTATCTCAAGTGCCAACAAACTGAGTAGCAGTGGATGCCTGAAGCTGGACAAACTGGAAAAGTTTGCCATGATCCAACAGCCATATCTACCATGGGCATGGAGGTGTAAATGGTGGTGTGCCTGCTGCGGTTGCTTCCACACTCGGTCTAGTCAGACTTTATCTGAATATGGATGTCAAGAAACTCGAACAACAGCCCTGTGTGCAGCTGTAGCTAAGTTATATGAAAATCACTTGCAAAACCATCTCCAACACAGCAATACTATCACTGTCAATTTGGTCCTCAGGAAAATCATTACTTAGAAAGTTCTCAGTTTGGATTAATGTCAACTGCCACTGAAGCAATAAATTAGCTAGTCTGGTTGGACTGTGGAAAAAGGAAGAGACTAAGGCTTTTTGCTTCTATTTTTTTGACCCATGATATCTCCCTGTCATGACTACCACAAAACACAATTATCATCCATTCTCAGTAGATCCTGTTGCTTATCTCAAAATACAAAGGGCCTATATCAAAAGGTCCAGTTGCCCGAAAGGAAGACTATTTATGCAAAGAAGATAAATATTGATGGAACTATCTCTTTGCTTATTTAAACATTTCCTTTGTTCTAGGTCTTAAAAGAATTTTTTTCAACCAAAATACACCATTTTTTTCTGCCCAGGCAGAATAACTAATCCAGACTGACAATGCATTATATTTTCTCTTGCAAAAAAAATGGAAAATGTCAGGTACTCTGAGGACACATAAAATCATTTTAATCAAATTCTTCTCTGTTTTATATCTGAGAGAAATTTATACCTGGAATATAAAGAGCTCCTGCATACCAATTAAAAAGTACAAACAAGCCAATTTTAAACTGGGCAAAAAGTGTTAAATAGGCGTATAACTAAAGAAATATCAAAAAAATCCCATGAGAAAACATTCAGGATCATTATTTATCAGGGAGGAGATATGGTATTACCAGGGAGAAGATACTGCCATGCACTCACAGGGTTACCTAACATTTAAAAAGGTTGAGAAGGGTAAGGCTTGGCAATGGAAGAACTGGAACTCCTATCCATGTCTGGTAGGAACGCAAAATGTTACATCCTATTTGAAAATGTGTTTGTTGATTTATGTTAAAAGTAAACACATGCATGCCCTTGGTATCAATAACACCTGGGCACAGATCTCAGAGAAATTAGTGCATTCTGGCAAAAAGGTTATATACAAGAATATTCAAAACACCTTTATCCATAATAGCCAAAAATAGAGAATAACTCAAATGCCTAGAAACAGGAGAATGGATAAGTAAATTGTACCATGCAATGTATACATTTATTATTAATACAGTACATTTATGCTACAGAATATAACTTAGTGATTTAAAAATGATCTGCTGGTACTTGCCACAGCACAGATAAACTTCTTAGATGTTATGGTGAGTGAAGAAATATGTAAAAGATGTACTTAGAGTAGAGTTCTATTTACATAAAGTTCAAAAACAGGCATAACTTATAAGCAAAGAGTACAAGAAAGCTTGCCTAAGACAGGGGAATGAAGCAGGAAGCTGTGGGTACTGGTAACGCACCTTGATGTGTGCATGGTGAACGAGATATAGACAAGTGTAAACAATTAGGGCGCCGTTCACGTGCTTTATCGTACGAATGTTATCCTTCAGATGAAGAAACCGTGTTGTTCTCGTTAGGTGCCGAGCATTGACTCTCACAGTGATTATGCTAACACACCCTTCAAGGGGCTTCTAAGAAGGGGACTCCATCTTAGTTCCCTCTCTCATGTTATCCCTGGGAAAACACACATTCATGCAACCTGAAGTCTCTTCTTTTTTTTTGAGTACTGTGGTTTGAACTCAGGGCCTTGGGCTTGCTAGGCAGGTGCTCTCCCACATGAGCCACTCCTTGGCTCAATTTCTTTGTAACCACTTAGCTAACTGCTTCACTTCAATGGATGTTACATGTAGCTAATTAGAGAGATAGAGAGATAGATAGATGTTGAATATCTTCATTATCTGAAATGACATGTGGGACCAGAAGTGTTTCAAAGTGGATACTTTCAGACTGTGGAACATCTGCATGTACATGATGATATATCTTGAGGATGGAACTCAAG